TATATATATATATATATATATATATACACAATATCATAATTAGGAGGTGTATTCCAGGTTTATTATCACACAGTTGTTTTGGTCACGTGACATCAAATATTTTTCTTAATAGTCTAGTCAAGTTCATTGTCCTCGTACCACATAAATGGCATAAAGTTTCACCTTCTGCTCACAAATTCTCGTAACATATTTTATATGACTTTTGAGTAAAAAGTTTTGCATTGCTGGAGGTAATGATGCCGTGGAACGCGCTTCGAAAATTTTTTAAAGGGGAACTTCCGCAATCGTTTAGGCGAAGGGCCAGTTTTAGGCCCTCATTTCACCGCGCAATCACGAGAGTCGGTGGCCACGACTCGAAGCGTACTACTGATCCTAACGAAATCTACCGGCTTCGTTCTGGGTTGTTCTACAGGGTTTTGTGATAATTGATTGATTACTAGTGATTCCGTGCACTTCAACTGAGGTCATTAGTCCCGTAAGTGTAGTGCATGTTGTTTATTCGCGAGGTGGCGGTGATCTTCCCTCTTTGGATGCTGAGACCCGGCGCCGATCTACCGTCGGCTAGCGGGGTGTTCCCCAACCAGGTGTCACCCACCTGGGGGGGCATCGCCCTACCCGGGACAGGCTCTGAGCTCTTGGCCGGTCTCCCGCTACGCAGGAAGTAGTGTATTACGAGAGTCTGTAAAGGATGAGGGTAAGACAAGGAAGAGGAAGGAAAGATCGCGCGCGGCCGTGACCCGTTTGTTAGGGTACTGCTCCTGTGCATTCGCCCGATAATGATAGAAGAACCACATAAAACTAGCGATCAGAGCAACCGGTCGCTAGAATTCTCTTCCAGACTCAATTCGACGTAGCTGAAGAAGTAGGAGAATGGTACTCTAGGACTTCCAGGTCAGAGGCACTTCTGTGACATGGGTTGATGCCTTGTGCCACCTCTCCCGGTCATTTGCGATTAGTTCCAGAAACATCTTGAACTACAATAGCAGTCCGCGAAAACACTCACGATACAGTTTCTGACCGAGGAGGTCGACAATGACATTTCTGGTTTCCTGGTTTCGTTCGTTGTTGCCTTGGGTTTATTCACTAACTGGTGTGTCTGTAGTTTGGGAGTGATTGCATTAAACAATTAGTAAAGAACTAGTATGTCCGTTATTATAAGAAGGTAGTATTGATGTTTCGAAGGCTTATTGCTTGTCAATTAGTATTATACAGGATACATTGTAGTGATAGTAATAATAAAGAATAATTTATTATGGCAAAAAAATCATATTTTACTGAAATTTGTTTGAATTAAGAACTAATATGTCCGTGGTTGGAAGAAGGTTGAATGGATATTTTCGTAAGACTTATCTCTTGTCAATTATCATATACATTATATTATTATAGTGATAGTAGCGTAATAGCAAATAATACTTTCTTATTCGAAGCAAAACATCTTTTACAGGCCCATAACGCCCTCTGAGAAGATGAAATCGAAATTAAATGAGGCAGTCGGGTCGAGTGCCGCGCCATCTCTCCCTCGGGTGGGCAACCGCGCGAGGGCTCTCGAGATCCAACTTTCCCAGTGATTCCGGGAGCGACCGTCAACCTCGAGGGCGCTTCCGGCGCGGCACTCGTCCGACTCGACGAGAAAGTTGTTTCCCGATGGCAGCTCGGAGCAGAAAATGAGCCAGCTGGGCAGCGCCGCTAGGGCCCCAGGGGCACGACAAAACGAATGGGACGAGCAGGACGCAGCGATGTTGTGTGCGGCACGAAAGTTACAAGTACACAGGGAAAGTGTTGATTCTACGTAATTGTATATAGGCTGGGTCGACTACCTCTAGATTGTTTATTTCTTTCTGGGCGAACGGAGTAAAGAGAAAGTTATGTAATACTTTGCGGAAAATGGCGAGTTGTTGGCACAAAAAACTTATTACAGGGCCCTGGTAATGAACAAGGGATAAATCCTTGTGATAAATTTAGAAAAAAATTCTTTATCTCGTAGCGTAACTAGAATCTATGTCATGGCCCCTTGATTTGATATTCCCGATGTCGCAGCCCCTTGATTTTAAAACCATATTTTAATTTTGGGGGTATTTTACATCAAAGCCTTAGAACGCTTTCAACGTTTTCAAAAAATGTCTTTTACTCACCTACTCCTCTCACAGAAATGATTCCTAACTAAACACGAGTTAGGTAAAATTAATAATTTATTACAGTATTTTTTCAGTCCAATTTAATTCAACTGAGAAGAAACCCGAGCAAGTCGCAAAATGGACCAGAATGGCTAGCGCATGCTGAAATGTTGAATAGGACTGAGTCAGACATGGAATTAACACTGTTAAAATTACGGAAAAAGCTTATTACGGAAT